TTCGAATAGATCGTTTGTCATCTTCATCGGGGCTAATATGACCGGTTTACTGTGCACTGAAGATAGATGTTACTGTAACAATGCAGTCCTAAGCATAAAGAAATTGTGACATACATATATTGTTATATTATTCGTTTCAAAATGTACTTTAGCATTGTTATCTAAATATATTGTTAGTCAACAAATCGTTTGTTGCTTGTTGGATTAGAATTTTCAAAGGCGTGCACTCCTTTCCACAGACAAATCGTCAGTGTTCCTTATGTATAAATTAACGCCCTTATGCAGTGTCCTTGACTGTCACATGTGTCGCATCAAGTGTAATCATGAGAAACTTGCAAAGGCCAAGGACATTACATGCGACAGGATGATAATTACCCTCGCCACTGCCCCTCAGTTTCACCTTCGACCATTCCACAGTAAAGCTGGTCCCTGCAAGGGCAGATATGAATACATATTGAAATCTTATTTTGATAGGAATATAAAGCGTAGCACACAATGGAGAAGCCATGAATATACATATTGGCATGAATGTAATGCATATCAGACATATTAAGATGTGTCCCCTTAAATGATATTATGTCATCTTATTTTATTACATTATTTTAAACCAATATATTTTCTTTCGAATTGAAGCAAAAACATGTCGATAAGATTGGACACCGGCACAGCAATATAAGTAATATCAGTATATATCAGTATATAAGTATATATACTGATTAATATGATTATATATCATTTATTAATCAATGATGGTGTTTCTTTTTAGCGTGGTAAATTTCAAACGTTTTCTGGCCTGAAAATATTTCCAGAACTAAACTAAACAAATCAAATGTCATAAATGTACAGACTATAAATAAGTTGGCCATGAAATAAAGAATCATTACAGCTTATATGATAAACTTATATAAATAATCTCATTATTTCATTAGTAAGAGAAGCTTACACTTTAAAACTTCTGTTAAGAAATGAGCCAGCATCCCTGTATTATTAGTAGGATAGACCATAAGTAAGATAACAATAAAATAAAGAATTACAACTTTTCCGACTGTCACGTTTTCTGACATGAAAATATTTTCAGAAATAAATTAAAGTGAGAAATAATCAAGTCTAAAACAATAGGCAGATTCTTCCACACAGGTGTTGAATGGAGATACCAGATGACACGGGGAAGACAAATGTCGTGGTTCAAGGAGCTGAGGACACCTGGCACTCCAGTTACCTCAGGTAAGTCCAGTCCAGTATGTCAAAGTCGTGTTTTAGCGCGTCGACTAAGGCTAGACAAGATACGCCCAAAGCAAGATAAGCAAATAACTGGGTATGATTTTTGAGACGGCCAGGCGTTTCAGGTAGCATCCATCCACTACAACCTTTCCTTATTGACACTGATCTCAAGATCAACAGGCTTATAAACACGAATTATTACAAAGTTAAGACAAGCTGAATCGTAGATGGTTCCAGTAGTCCGCAATGTCCCTGCTGATGTTCTCCGGGTCCCTCATAGAGTTCCTCATGATCCTTGATACTTCGATGAAGTTTGCATGAGCTTAGTGAGGCATCTGCAGAACACCAGCAGGAATTTTTACCATTTTATTTCTCTGCTACACAGAAAATTTCAGAATCCACACACGTCGCTTTCAACTCCAAGTAGCTTCAATGTAGCATTCCAACTGAAGAAGCGAGAACTGCTTTAACTTTTGTGGTGATTTTTCAGCTGAAATGGGTTAGGCCTCTGGCCCAGCTAGATGCACAGTCTGTAAAATAGGTTTGAATCAGATGTACGGAGGGAAATGGAAATGGTGTTCGATAATGGACATCTCCCTCGTGCCTTACAATCTAAGTATCCCCCATCACCAGTTAGCCTAATGCAATCTAGTTCCAGATGTAGTGATACCGATGATGACATGTTGTCCATTCCCTGACACCTTGGCGCCCCTTTGGAGCAAGGTTACGGAGCCAGCATGTTTTGAGATCAGTAAATCAGCAATCGAATGGCCCTAACTCCGGCCGTTGCGCCTCTGCAGCTGTCCCGAAACGTCACTCTCGGGAGCGTTAATAGGAGTACCTCATTTGCGGTAGTCGATGCTGAAAATGGACCATGCCGCAAGGGAACACTTTGATCACCGCAGACAATCTTGCTCGGACGTACCGAGCCAAGAAAAAAAAACTCCATTTGGAAGGCAACCTGTTGTGTATGTATCGCTGATACGGTGCCATGTCTTTGCCGTGGGCAGAAGGCTGCTGCTGCTGCATTACTGCTGCCGTTATCTCGTGTTTTGTCCGCAGATGGACTACTCAGAATCTGCGGAGGTGCACTCCTGGGGATGGATGGTCCCTTTGCAGCAATGACTTTTTGCCATTTTGTTTTGCTTAGCAAGCTTTTTGTCCAATCTGAAGACGATAGACTCGAATTAAACAAAGTCGGTGATATGAGAGAATAAGAACCGGCTTTGTTTATAATCCGGAATGATGGATTTTTTCATTACTCGTAAATATAGACTTGCAATGGTTTTGCCTCAAGACAGAACTATTTGTGATAGTAAACATCTTTCTCCCAGATAATAAGAGCAACTCTTCTAAGACATTTTGCAGTTGACTGCGAAAGTATTACATGGGTATTCACAACTAAAAGCATAAAATCGCTACCCTCAATGGTAGTGAATGAGAAAATTTGGAGTAAAAATGGCGAATCTTACTTTTACGCTGCTCATTGATATCATGACGGCAGATTGTAAGTGATGGGTACAACTTTTGGTTCCCTAAATGCAACCATTGTACTATAATACACCATACTATACTATGCTATGCTATGCTATACTATACTATACTATACTATACTATACTATACAATACAATACTATATTGTACGATATCATACTACTAGTATACTATATTATATCATGTTATATCGTTTCATATCATATCATATCATATCATATCATATAATTGTATTAGAAACACTTTTTTTTCTTTTCGTCCTTGGACCAGTGTGACCTTTTATGCCAGTTAACCATGAGAGGTTCACCGTCCATATACATCTTGAAGGCGAGTTAGTCACTTCCTAGAAGAGCCGATAGCAACAACAATCACTCCTACTGTCCGCCGGACGGGAAGATCAATAGTGATAAATCACCTTGTTAGGTCTGTTTCCCCTAGCAGAGCTACGTCTGATGGGTCTGAGTCGTGTGGACGTAAATAAGGAGACGCCCCCCCCCCCTGCAAGCGTTATTAATTACAGGAAAGGCCTCCGCGCGTACACAGATTTTACTTGCTTTCCCCAACGGCCGTTTTGTTTTCATTTCATGCAAGGTAACTTTAGAGAAAACCTGCAGAGACAAGTGGCCGCTCGTGCCTGTGCCCAAAGTTAGACTACATGCCGTGTTGTAATTCACTTCTACTTTTCATAACATCTGCGCAACTGTCTCACATGTCTGCATTCAGAGTTGGCGCTAAAACCTACACGAGGAGTACTCGGTTTGTGGCACCACCACAAACTACCAGAATGCAAAAAAAACAACACATGACTGACAGCTGT